CGTGAGCCCGAACATATCAGCACAGCCGGCCTCTTCCCGCCGTCGCTTATCGTTGAGCGGTTTGCCAACTACTTCCCCCCGGGAACACCTTTCGGATACATTATGCTACGTCTACATGAGATCTCTGAGTTACACCCTCGATTCCATCTCTGTGCACTAAAAGATCAGCTGGCGATTGCTGACGCCATTCACATGGTCAAGAATCTCAGCATTCAAGACCGAATCATGTTATGTGCCGCACCCATCAACATGCGCCAACCGTCCCAGAAAGCGTTTCTGCGCCACCTCGCTGAATGCATTGCTGAAGGCAAGTCGGGTAGCCTATTGGATCTTGACACTCTGCCACTCAGCGTCATGGACCGGCCCTCGTCTGCTGAACGCAAGTATCTCCACGATCTAGAGGAACTACACAAGATGCTGGTATGCTACCTGTGGCTGAGTTACCGATTCCCCAACGTCTTCACCACCAGAGCCCTAGCCAACCACACAAAGAAACTGGTTGAGGATCAGATCGAGAAAACGCTAAACGACTTCTCTTTCATTGAGCAAGCGAGAAAGCGGATGAAGACTACTAGAAAACAAGCAAGAAGATCGATGGTATCAGAGCCTGAGGAAACCGGTGAAGTCGACGGCCCCCAGGTTGCGGCTTTGAAGCACCACATCTCTGCACCGCCGGGCATGCCAGAGGAAGCGAAGGATATTCTCACCGATCCGCGATTGGCTTCCGACGAGCCCGCAACCACCGACGATGTAAACGAATACCCTGATGATCTACCAGTCACCAAGCTGGATTCGCTTGCAGCCGAACACCAGAAGCGAACTGCGAAGCTTTCAGACGAAGTCAACGACCTCCTCAAAAGCCGAGCACAGTATGCGGCCGACTCTAGCGAAGCCGTACGTTCCGTGAACTAGACGAGCTTTGTACGAATGCATGTATCAAGGATTGTAAATTTGGGGTAGAGTTGTATATATTCTCCTACATACGGGATGTCCATTGTAAATATAGCAGCCAAGACCATGATATAGGTCGGCTTGCAGAATTACGACGAGACGTTGAAAAGTTAGACATGTACTATACCAACGAATCGAGGCCCGCTTCGTTGGACGGGCGGCCGACAGCACGCAGAAGGCCGACTCTTATGATTTGTACTCCAAATGCCGAGTGTGAACTATTACCCGTGATGCTTCTTGAGTTACAACATATATCCTCACACCTACCCTGAAATACAGAACAGGAAAAGCAACGCCTCCTATCCACAAACATCTATGAACTACCACCAACCCACTCAGCCCCTCCATTCGCCGCAATCACACTCCCAGTAACCCACCTACTCTTCTCACTAACCAGAAACTGCACAACATCCGCCACATCCTCCGCCTGCCCCATCCTGCCTCCCTCGACAACCTTGACTTTGGGCAACCGCTGCTCCTTCAACGCCTGCACAGCTTCTGCAGGAAAGGCGCGCAGTCCAGGTGTGTCTGTCAGCCCCACCGACACGGCATTTACCGTTGTGCCTGGAAAGCTGTGTGGCAACTCAATGGCCCACGAGCGTACGAGCGACTCCATGGCTGCACGCGTTGCGTTAAATAAACCGGATCCGGGTGATGGGTCCCGCACGCGGTCGGAAGATATGACTACGACGCGGCTATGTGGTGTGAAGAGACTTTGTTGAACAAGTTTTTCCATGAGCACGATCGGCCAGTGCAAATTCCCCATCAAAGAATCGCTGATATCGTCTTCGCTTGCGCTGCCCAGTCTAGGTCGCGCGTTGTGTGACGCATTGAAAACAAGTATGCTTAGTTTCTGACCCTGGAAATGGGTGGCTAGGGCTGTGAGGAGAGTGTCGACAGATAATAGAGATGTGATGTCTGCGGCTACGCCTTGCATAGCTGGGGCTTTGCTTTCGGTGGCGGCGTAGAGGTCGCGGACAGTGCTTGTGAGAGTATCGAAGATATGGGCGGATTGAGGGGATGAATAGGTTCCTAAGATGGAACAGCCGCGGGTTGCGAGGGAGAGGGATATAGCGCGGCCTATGCCTTTTGATGCTCCGCTTGGGGTTTGTTAGAATTTGGGGGTGTGGGTGGTTGGGGGGGTTTGGTGGAGGGCAGGCTGATATAGGAAGCTGATAGAATGCGTGATGCAACATGGGTTCATCATGAAATAGAATAAAGTGCCAACTAATTTGATCCCCTTGAAATGGTATTGGCGGCATCGTTGAAGAAGGTGAAGCCTTACGTGACAATGGCAACTTTGCCCTTGAGATCCTGCTCCTGTAGCGCTGGCGCTGGAGGTTGGTAGTCTGCCATGTTGGGGCTGATCGACAAAATTTGTGTATATATAACGGTCAGTGTTGAGTACAGACCTGAAAGGGATTCAATTTATAGTGCATTCCACGGTTGACAGTATGCAATGTTGTGTGACATGTACGTGCTGGAGAAATGTGAGGACTGAATGTTAAGCTACGTCATCGTACCAAGGTAGAAGCTAGCTGGAGGAAATCGCTGCAACGAGCCCTACGAAGAAGCCCACTCTCTGTAGTCGTATCAGGAGTACGTTGCACGTCTCTGTGTGCTTCACTACTGTACTAATAATCTAAAGTTGGAATTCAAATTCGGCTGGTTCGTCATCTTGTCTCTTAAGTGACTGACTAGGGTGAACTCATGGGGTTGAAGGTCCTAAAGCCATCTTTAAGGAACTCGGAATGTATAGTTGATGGCGGCATACACGTGAGCTTGCTAGAGGTTGGAACTTAGTGACGAGGGCGAAGTATGTACATAGGGCTGGGATAGTAAGCGTGGAAGGCGCGCCGCGTGATGTTGTCGCGGATGCGTCATAGCTGGCGCAAGACTCGGCGAGACTCGAAATAGTAGGCGCAACACCAACAATTAAACCTAAAGGAGATATGGAATGTTAACGCAAATGCAACGAGTCCATTGTGAATGAAGTCTGCGCGAATCATGGTACAAAGTATATCCATGGATGAAGGGATTGCACGACCACGACTCGCATGTACTGAAAGGGGCGCTAAATCTCCCGGGCCTTCCGCAGTGCTTGCGCCTTGCAACAACGAACATCGTCACCCAAACTCTTTCACTCCCATCGTCATCTCCCTATAATAGCCACGATGAATATCCTCGATATCCCACGTCCCACGGTAAGTGAATCTAAACCTTAAAATGGACAGGACTGACCCGCGCAGACGTTCCTCCAGAAGATGTCTCTTCGGACGGGGGCCGAGATCATCACTTACCTCCAAGTCATAAACAAGGCGTCGGGAGTCTACGGCCTCCTTGCGCTTCTTACCGGCGCGAAGATTGATGGCTTCCAGCTGTCCATGTACCTCTACTCGACCGCCGCACTCCTCGCTACCACATTCCTGTACAAGCACATCCGGTTACAAAGTCCCTTTGAGTCGGTATTGCTGGCGCACCTGTATGCGCTCGACTCGGTCATCAACGCGTTATACACGGCCTTCTTCGGCATCGCGTGGTTCTACACGCTCGCCGCACACCCAGACGAGAATGCCGGACTATCGCCGGGCATGAAGGACAACGCGGGTTTCACCAGCCCCAAGCACAACGTCACACAGGTCGATATCATCGCGGAGCCCACCGACGGCCTGAAATCTGGTCAGAACGCCGTAGCAGTCGGACAAGGCGGAGATGCTGGCGCGGGGCTAGGCAACGCCGTCTTCCAAAGCGGAAGCATTATGAGCATCTCGCTGATCTCTGGCTTCTGGGCTCTTCGCGTCTACTTCGTCTTCATTATGCTTGCTTTCGCGCGCCAGTGCCTCCGCCAACACATCGCCGCAAACGCCTCCTCCGCCGCATGGTACAACTCGAACAACATGCAGACGTCCGCAAACGACCTCGCTGAGAACCCGTTCGCAGAAGGCAAAGAAGAGGGAAACGGTTGGAAGGGACAACTCGGACGCGTCATGCTCAGCGGTGCGCCCAAGTACTGGCTCGGTGCTGATGCCGGCGAGGGCGAGGACTGGATGCGCAGTCTGGGTGGCAAATTCAAGAAGACTGCACAGCTAGACCAGCCTGTTGGTTTCAACGAGCGCGAGCGGAGGCGGAGAGCTGGAACTGGCCCGCCAGTACCTCAGCTTAAGCTGAACCCTGAGCTTCCCAAGTAGACGGCGTCTGAGGCGCATTCTTGGCCCACCAGGCTTTGTGGACGAGGGGAGGGGATGATTTATGACAGAGCCAGAAGTTGTAATGACATGACCCAGGGTTGCGCATTCTCGAACTAGAAGCGCACGTGTACCATATACATCTATCATTTTGGCGTACATCAGACGGGCGGAGTCGCACGATAGCGAAGCACGTCAGATATACCACTATTTTCCGCGTAGCATAGCGTTTACTATTCGCAAATTAATTTCTTCACCACAACGAAGCACAACAATAGCATTCTCTCGCCCGACGTGCTCCTAAGCTCTGACTCATCTGGCCCCAAATCTTACGCGTTCCAAGATTGTAAGGCAGGCGTGGCGGCGCAGTCAGGGCGCTTAGCAGCGTCCACCGGGTCACCCCACCACACACGTTGCACCTAGCCCCACTTGGGTTAGCCCAAGCACATCAGGTGAATGACGGCTGTCTCACCTACACCGCCGGATACGTCTGCTGGACCCTGACAACGGCAAAGTGGTAGGCATGTGCCTGGACTCGAGGTGCCATGTGCGTTGCGTGCCACTGTCAGGCCCCGTTAGAAACCGCGGCTGGATGACATGTCGTGCATTGGCGGCCGGAGGCCAGGCGCATTGATAAGGGGATGCAGTGGCCGCGCGCGAGACGGCGTCGAGCTTGCAACGGCTATGTCGGTACCTTTCTTGATGTGTTGTTGACTAGTCCTTGTTATTAAATTTATACGCTGGCAGTGTTGACTTATAGCGTCTGTTGCCCCTTTGTGGTACTCTTATATTGGTCTCAGCCTCAGAATTCGAGAGCCTCATAACGACCACACGGGTAGTGAAGGAATAGATCAAAACGCAAGCATGAACATCTTTCGTCGATCTATGAGCTTCGGCTCCTCACACTCATCACGTCCTTCCACCGTCGACTCGGCATCCGATACCGCAAGCTCTCGAACGAGCATAGATTCTACCTTTGAAGAGTACGAGATTACAGACTCCCTGGCTACAATCAAACCCTCACTACCGTCACCGAAAGCTCCAGTACTTACTCTCCCACTCGAGCTGATCCAACAAGTCAACACCTATCTCGACACTGCCTCCGCAGCAGCCTTCTGCCTATCCGGGCGATACATCTACTACGCTCTCGGCACCGAAATTCTGTCTCGCCATGTCAAGGGAAGCAAAAACCGATTTGAGAAGAGGAAGATTATCGAGGCTGTAGTAGAGCGCGCCTTTCCCGGTCATTGGTTCTGCGGCTGGTGTGACAAATTCCACGCCTGGACCGCAGAAGACGGGCCAAAGAACCAGCAATATTCGAGAAAGAGAAGAGATTGTGCCGACTACAACAGCTACTTGGACGCTGGAGACGGTTATAAACTACGCTTTCATCACGTTCGACTTGCCATCAACCGCGCGTCACGGGGAGACGAACACGGCATTCCACTATCTGCGTTTACCCATGAGAAGAAAGACATGGCGCGCATCTCCAGAACGCCCGTTCCGACTAAACTCACCGTGTCCGCTAGGATAGTCAACGGTCGATTCTTGTTGCACAGTTCTTATGCCATTGTCCTGCCCGCCTTTACGACGCGTAATCGCAACCTTTTAAAGTCGCTCTGGCCTCTCCTCCCACACATTGTCACAGGCCACCGCGATACACCAAACGGCCACACAGGTATCATGGCCGCCATCGACAACGTCATCCGCCGAGGTTGGAAGTACCAGTTCACGCAGAACTGCTCCACTTGTGCGACGGATTGGAGCGTGACAAGCCAAGACTTCTCGCATGCTACAGGCGGACAGGTCAGGTTGGTGGTGCAGAGTTGGCGGGACCTGGGTACGGGAAGGACGCCGTTCGAGACGGGATGGAGGGCACATGGCGTAGGAAGCTGTGCTGAGGGTAGTGGGGCCAACACTTGTCTCGTGAGACTTACAAGCCGACCTGCGGGATCTGTCAGACGTGCGTTTGAGGCTGCGGAGGTGGAAGATGGGTCGAAAGAGGCTACTCACCCTGGGGTTGTGGCGGCTAGCAGCGCACCCAAATCGCGCATCTATCGGTCCTTCATGAGGAGGAATACTTCTGAAGAAGGACCCGATGAGATCAGACGGTCCAGTGCAAGACCGAGGTATTGGCGGACGAGAGAAGAGAACGAAGCAGTGGCTCGGAAGTATGCTGAAGACACACGAGATCATGCGAGAGATGTTGCTGAAGAGTTGATTCGGCTAGATGCTCGTCATGGGCATGGACTTTTCTAGACGTTCTTCTGGTTTTCTAAGCTTCTTTAGCTTTCTTTGAGTACCTGCAGCCACCTTTCATTGTAGGAGCCTACCGGGTACACAGCGTAGGTTTAGATATAGACATTTCGGAGTTGGGCAATATACCACATTCCAGGCGATATGCCTACATCATGGAAGAATCTTGACTAGAAGTAAACCTGAACAGAAATAGGCTTGTAAAGACGGAGAATAGTTCAAAGTGATGACCTAGCATCAGGTACCTAGGTACCTAGACTTCGCCCGGGCGATGTCTCGAGGTGCGGGGGGATACGCTAGCCTTCTTGAGGTCTAGGCCTTTGGACCCTTCCTGCCCACTTTGGGGGGTGTCCAACCTCCAAACACCATCGCAACCCATCTCCCTACTTACTAGATAGATGCTTCTCACTTGCGATACATGTCGAAATACGTTACGTAGGTGAAAACATACGAATTGCCCAAGTCTTTGAACTTCCTAAAGATTCTGAAGTGTACCCAGGTATGTGACCAATCTATGCTTCCGGAGCTACGTATCTCACTCTCGGTTTCAAGCAGAGTGATACAAACTCGGTACTAGCAAATAATGTCCACTGAACTGCGCGTTCGATGCCCCTGGGCCGTGTTGTGAGGTCACGCTGTCACGATGATTGCGGCTCAATGTGTTATACCCGGTCGCAGTATATGACAGCGCACCTGATTCGCTAAGCCCTGGAAAACTGCCGCCCACCTGGGTCGCAACCACCGAGAACCTGTGATCGTCGAATACTGGTGCGGAGTTCATATCGAGTGGCCGGAACGTATATTGCACGTTGCTGGAAGATTAGGCTGAACCTCGGACGTCATGCACAACAAACCAGCTGGGAAAACAGCATCTGCATCTTTGGCCGTGCAACGCTACTTGGAGACTTTCCATAACCCACAATTCAAACGACGGGTTGATGGTCTGTCACAAGCTTTGCTTGCCAACGACCCAGCAGGCGGACAAATTCATGGCGAACCTTGGGATGTTCCGTTCTTGGCGAGCGGGCACCCCTGACCTCAATCTATTCTGCACTAGCAGTTCGACCGAGAAATCCGGTCGATGCCACTCTGCTAAGGCTCAGGGCAACTTGATTAAGCTCTGGAATCCATAGCCAATTGTGGATGAGGGTCTCGTCCCGTCTGCTCCGGAAGCTTCGTTTTGCTTGCAGGGTTCGGCGCTTCAACTCGGTACCTGCATTCCACCACGAAAGGACACCTGATGAAACTGCCTCAATGTTTCTCATGCATTTCAACACGGGGAAATACTGGCCAGTCTCTGTCGATACCATTCGTACACCGGCATGTCAAGCAGCGCCAGTCATGGTTGTTTACTACAACAATGAGACTCGAGCAACAGAAGGAGGGGCTCAATGCAACTTACCTGACTGTATCCTTGTGCCGCTTCCAGCGAAGTACGTATCTCAGTCTTCTTTCTTCTTATTGGATTTCACGCCCAAACCGTTACCCGGGAAAAGATCTGAGCCTCATGACCTCTGCTACAGATTAAGTGTGCCCCCCAGTCCGGAAAATTTTTCTAGAAAAGTCTCTCGTATATGCCCATGGATCATGGAAAAAGCAATCTATTCCTACCGGGTTTTGAGCTCACCGGGTGGAATTGCACAAAACAACGCGATATGGTCCTGAGCTGTACCCAAGGAAAAACACACACTGGAGTATACATCGTCGCGTATCTTTTTACTGTGAAAGCCAGCATGATGTATTCTCCTGGGTGGTGTGTGCACATGCGGTCACTCGTGACCCAGCCACAATACTGTATGCAAATATCAAGGACACAGCTACGAGTGCTGATCCACAGCTTCGCCTTCTCACATACGAGGCTGACCCATCACTGTCGAATGAGACGGAAGGCTAAGACTTGGCCACCAGTGAAGCCGACGGTTGATAGTACGTCTCCATATGCTTCTCCATTCGTCACTCCCTACACTATCTCTTTAAGGCAAAGATCCCGGGCGTGGTGGCGCACAGATCTCCGCAATACCCCAGACTACCCCACGATGCGGCGCAACGGGGCATACCTCATCTATCCTTCATTACTCTGGCACTCCTAGCGTTCTTTTGCGCTCCCGATGTTCCGTTCCTCTTACAGCATTGGTGAGAACATCACAGAGGGACGTCAAGGGTGTAGATCTCCTGCACCTTGCAATAATCAACAGTCATATGGGTACTTCTGCAGAGTACTTTGATTAGTAGCCATGAGCTCAAGAATGTTGTATAAGAAGGTCAGCCCATTGCTCCAATGCTTTCGACATCCAACAACATATCTTCACTCAAGAAGCCAAAATGTACAGGACACTCGCCCTCACCTCGCTCTCGCTCTTCGGAGCCGCCCGCGCTCAGCAGGCTGGCACATCGACAGCAGAGACACACCCCAAGTTGACATGGCAGACTTGCACTGGTACTGGTGGAAACAGCTGCACCACCAAGCAGGGTTCCATTACGCTCGATGCCAACTGGCGCTGGTCTCATGTCACCAGTGGATACACCAATTGCTACGACGGCAACTCTTGGAACACGACCGCTTGCCCTGACGGCAGCACTTGCACCAAGAACTGCGCTATCGACGGTGCTGACTACTCTGGTACGTTAACATGTCCACGACACAACATGTGAAGCCCTTAGCTAACGATCTTAGGCACCTACGGTATCAAGACCAGCAGCAACTCTTTGAGCCTCCAGTTCGTCACCAAGGGTTCTTACGCTGCAAACATTGGTTCTCGCACCTACCTCATGGAGAGCGACACCAAGTACCAGATGTTCAACCTCATCGGCAAGGAGTTCACCTTCGATGTCGATGTCTCCAAGCTACCCTGCGGTCTGAACGGAGCTCTCTACTTCGTCGAGATGGCCGCCGACGGTGGCATCAACAAGGGCAACAACAAGGCCGGTGCCAAGTACGGAACCGGATACTGCGACTCGCAGTGCCCCCACGACATCAAGTTCATCAACGGTGTAGCCAACGTTGAGGGCTGGAACCCGTCCGACGCCGACCCCAACGCCGGCTCCGGCAAGATCGGTGCCTGCTGCCCCGAGATGGACATCTGGGAGGCCAACTCCATCTCCACTGCCTACACTCCCCATCCCTGCAAGGGCACTGGTCTCCAGGAGTGCACCGACGAAGTCAGCTGCGGTGACGGCGACAACCGCTACGGCGGACTTTGCGACAAGGACGGTTGCGACTTCAACAGCTACCGCATGGGTGTCAAGGACTTCTACGGCCCCGGTATGACTCTCGACACCACCAAGAAGATGACCGTCGTCACCCAGTTCATCGGCTCCGGCTCCAGCCTCTCTGACATCAAGCGCTTCTACATCCAGGGCGGAAAGGTCTTCAAGAACTCCGACTCCGCCATCGAAGGCGTCTCCGGTAACTCCATCACCGAGTCCTTCTGTGAGGCGCAGAAGACCACTTTCGGTGACACAAACTCCTTCAAGACCCTCGGTGGCCTCAACGGCATGGGTGCTTCGCTTGCTCGCGGACACGTCCTCGTCATGTCCCTCTGGGACGACCATGCGGTCAACATGCTCTGGCTCGACTCTACTTACCCCACCGATGCTAGCCCTGACAAGCTTGGTGCCGCCCGTGGTACCTGCGCTACTGACTCTGGCAAGCCTGAGGATGTTGAGGCTAACTCGCCCGGCGCCACTGTTGTCTTCTCCAACATCAAGTTCGGTCCCATTGGCTCTACTTTCGCCCAGCCCGCATAAGCGCTCGATGGGGTTGTTGGATGAGATGCTGGAAAGGGACTGGAGCTCGGTACTGTAAGAGCTCGTGGAATCCTTCCGGCTGTTCTCTCGCTTGGCTTCGCAATTGTATATACTTGTGGTGGATCTAGAAGTGTGCATATAGAGACAAATTGACTGCATTCGTTATATTGAACGTGCCCACTGTGAGATTCGTGTGTGCAGCTCTATGACTTCCTATTGTTCGTTTGCCAAAGCCCTCACTCGCTTTTTGTAGCTCTCAAAGCCCCTGTTGCAATCCTTGATCTCGTCAAGTAAGCCTTTGACCTCGCGGTTGCGTTGGTTCACCGCACGCTGAAGCTTCGCATTCTCTGCTCTCAGCCTAGTAACCTCGTCGTTGACTGGGGTGATCTGAAATTCCATATCTTCAATGCTTTCTTTAAGGCTCTCTTTCTCTCGTCGCAGTATATGCATCTCCTCGCCCATCGTCTTGAGTGTAGCAGCATGGTCGGCGCTCCGATGCTCTGCTGCCTGTCGAAGTTGGGTGATAGCTTGTTCATGAGTACGAGTGCGCTCAGCAAGCTCGTTCCGGAGGTGGTCGTTATCGTGTTGAAGCCGCTCGTAGCCCTGAGCGAAGGCATTCAGACTGGCAAGATCCTACGTTCCTAAATTAGCATGACAAATTCATACACGTATGGATACTCGGTACGTACAGGTATTGAGCGGTTCTGCGCACTTTCGTCGCGCGAATCGTGCATTGCCTCTTCGCGTTTGAGTGCCATGTTGTTGATGACTGATTAAGGATTTCGGCGGTATCATTCAGTGACAAGAAGAGATTGGTGGACTGAGCCTCACCAGATAGTGTTGTTGATGAAATGTGATTGAGCCGAATAAGATAACGAAGAGGTGAACGCTCACATGAGCGGTGAAAGTGAGGGCATCGCTAAATTTCCGCGCACCTTTGCAGCTCACACCAGTCAAAAATGATCCAGTCAGCACTGTGATGTATGACGGTAGAAGCCACGAGTCGATGGCTGATAACTATTTGCTCTACAGTCTAGGGATACCAATTTGAGTACCGACCCCTCGTAAGCATTCTGTACTGATCCTCCACATCGCGCCCTTGTTTCCATTGTTCCCGCTCCCGTCCGACTAACGCAGACAAACCCATATTCGTCGCCTGATATGTCTCGGCGAACAATGGAAAGTCGTTGCACGTAACAATTTCGATACATTCTTGAGCACCAATAACAGCATGCTTTTTCGACCTTAACACCCTGTTCACCCGAATGTTCCCCGAGATGGTGTCTTCGGTGTAATGTCGCTCGTTCTGTTCGAACTTCGGGTGAAGCATGGGTAGCGTGACGGTGACGTCGAGATTGGGACGAGTACTAAGTTGTGTGAGAAGAGGGTCAAGGGTCGAGCGCTCGTTGACTACGACCCAGAATTGCGGCTCATTATGATCGAGCCACAAGTCCAGCTTCTTGAGTGCTTCGAAACGACTGAGAATGGAGCCCAAATCTTGCCAAAGACGTGCTGGCTGCGTTGCTGGACCTATGTCTGAGGATGTAGGATAGTTGCCTGAGAGCCCCTCCGCTGAATGGAAGAAAGCTAACGGAAGCTTGAGCGTGATACTCAGACGACTAATATTCGATACTGGCATGTTCGCGAATTCGGAAGCGACTGGCATGGTTACCTCCGAAGCTCTTGCCCAGTAATCGATGAGGTCCAGGTCGGAGACATGGATAGTCGAAGTACGAGCAAGGAGATCGTACACTTCATTACGACTAGTGGCGTGAGCGCTTGACACCAAGCCTCCAAATGTACTCACACGCCCTTGAAAATGTCCAAAAGATCGGGAATGTCCGTACATTCAGTCAACAAGAAGTGTGATAACGAGGTGTGTTCCTCGCACGACCAGTGAAGACCCCAGGTTGACTGTAGACGACGGGCGTACACAGACGTGGGCACGCGAACTTGCCAAGTCTCGTCGGTGTATTCAATGTCGTAACTAGATACATCGCCACGGAAAGGGGCACCGTCCTGAATACAGGCCGATGCAAGAAGCGTGCCATTACGGAGGCGTACGTGGACGTCGTTAGGCAGTAGGTATGAGTAAATCTGAAGCCGGAGTTCTGTAGGTAGGCGTAACAATGCGCTTTGGCTTTGCGGCATCCTGGCGGGAGAGATCTGAGTAGTGAGTCTGGCGTAATGGAGGACGGTAGTGATGGCTTGTAGGTGCGAAGATTGTGAGGTGCCCTCCTGTGAGCTGCGGCACAGCGATGGCTAACCCGAAGCAGCTAGTGTTGGCCTGGGGGAAGGAAGGAGTGCCCCAGGGCATTTCTCAATCCCCAAGGTAGACAGGTTCTTGAAAGAACAGCCTCACGTATTGGCCGAAGTGAAAATGATTCATGTGCGCGGACCTCAGCAGACTCTGAGATTTGACAAGCATCGTCTACCACCTACACATAGCCACAGGCTGCGCAAGATCGTCAGCATCACACCACATCCCCGCAGACATAGCATTCACAAACATCCATAACAAAAAAATACAATTGCCTACCCTCGGCTACTCAGCCATCATCGCATAGTCTATCGAGCGTCTAGCCCATCCAGATCCAAGCTCACAAAAGAAAAAGGTCGCATCCTCGTCCCCACTAGCATATATACAGTTTCCGTGGTGTTGCTGTAAGACTTCCGCCCAGGTCTAGGGTCTTCTTGACTTGCTGAAGGTGTCGTCTACTCCTTCTTGACGGTGTCTGGGTCTGCGAGGATACCCTCGGCTTCGAGTCTTCGTCGCGCCTCCTCTAGGGCCCAGGTTTGGATGCTGGTGAACTGTTAGCTTCTGTGCTCTCGATCCGTCGCCGCTGTGCTCCTCCCGTCGCTCCTTAGGGCTCAATCCTAATGCTCTCTTATGACTCCCCCTCCCGAGCCACCTCTCTACCCATCCCGCACCACCCCCGTCCATCTCCCTCCTACACAAAATTTGCACATACCTAGTATCCGGCTTGAAAGCATAAGCCACAACACCAAACGCACACGCTCCTCCAAAGCCCCAGTACATAGCGTTCTCCCACCCCTCCTTCTCATACTGCTCGCCGGGCTTGACGCCAAAGAGCCATCCGGATGGGGGATCGTAGCTGGGTCCGTGACCCGATCGCTTCGTTTGTGACTGTGAGAAGGCTCGGCGGGGAGCAGCTGTGCGAGCCGAAGCGGTGAGGGCGGTGCGCGAGGCGCTGGTCGCGGCGCGGACGGAGTTCATGGTGGGTTGCAGGCTCGCGGATCGAAGGCTGAGGTAGACGTAGAGTGGGATGGTTTGGTCCCGGCGTAGGGGCAGCGGGTTGTGATGGGGGCTGATAGGTGCTGGTTGTGTCGACGTCAAAGGTGAGGTTCCGCGTTCCCTGCGATTGCTTGGCGTGGCGGCGGCTAGTGGCGCCGGAGCGAAGGAGCAATGGGACGTCGAACTGCTCACAGGGCTCACAAAGATTGTTGTCAAAATTATAATTGCAACAAAAAGACCAAGTTTCGTCTGAGGAGTGTATAATTACTGTATATGTAAAAGTGTAGTATTTCCCTCAATGACGAATATGTAGTGTACCATCAGTACCTAGGTAACTGATCTGTGGTATAAGAGCCCGTAACGCCGATGCTATGCAGTTAAACCATTTGAACGCAGAATAACCAAAGCATGCCTAGGCATAAGCAGCTGTGCGCTTCTCCTCCTCAGGATCTTCCATCTCATCATTCGGCTGATGGAAAGACATCCTCGCCATGCTCTGAGACGCCTCATCGACCTGTTTCTCCGTTCTGCCCGCGTCAACAGCCTCCTTCTGTCGTTGCTCCTCGTCTGCAGCTCCCTTCTCCTTGCGCTTCTTCTCCACTGCCTCGAGCTCTGCTAGCCTTGCAGCAGTCCTCTCGGCCTCTTCCTTCTCGCGCTTCTCGCGATCCGCCTTCTCAAGTGCTTCGAACTCGTCGTCAATCTCGCCCTCATCAAGAGGCTGGTCGGTCTCATTGATGATGTTCGTGATTTCTTCCGTGGTCGCCATCTGTTCGTTGACGGCATCGACAACACCCTGAACGCCTTCTGCGCCGCCAACCTTCTCATTGAGACCTTTGAGGGCCGCTGCACCAGCTCGCATGGCCTCCACGATCTCGACCTGATCAGCGGCTTGTTGTAGATCGGTGTAGACTTGCTCGAGCTGGAGGGCGACATCGGAACGTTGAGCGAGAGCGTTTTCGGCGAGCTTCTTGGATCGCAGTGCAGCTTTGGCGCGGACCATCTGCTTCGCAACTACTGCTTCCCGTGCTGCCGCATCGGCCAAGGCAATCTTCTCCATCAGTGGCGGTATCTGCGCGTTGATATTCGCTAGTGTGTCGCGAAGATTGGCAATAGCAGCGTCTTCTTCCGTGACAGGCAGGGGCACAGCCTCATGCTCTGGCTTGAACTTGATTGTCTGATCGTTGTGGGATATCGCTTGCTTGTCTCGTGCGAGGAAGACGAGGAGTATATCGAGGTCGTTCGTCGTGAGTGGTGCAGTCGGATTTAGTATAGTCGAGAAACGTTTCAAGAAGTCTGTCTTCGATAGTACCCGATCAGCCGTGGATACGTGCTCATTCATCTTCTTGAGTATCTCGTCCGCAGCAACTTCGACATTCTTGACAACGACAAAGTTCCCCACCTCCATCTTGGCCGGCGCGCGTACCTGCCCCAGTACCCCAACCTGCCGCAAGCTCCACTGAAGCACCTGCCACGGCGAAGGTATCCACGATGTCTTGTATATGCTCTCTTTTGACGACATGAAGTCCTTCAGAGGTACCATCTCCTTCTTTTGCACTGCCTCATGGAATACGGCCGGTAGACAGGTGGGCTTGCCATACTGCGGGTGTTGTAGGGCTCGCGCGAGCTCCTCGGCGGCTCGTATGTTCAGAAGATCGTGGGTGGTGCCCTGCCTCGGGATGACGCCCGCCCGCGAGGCGTCGACGAGAGCTTTCGTCCATGCGGCGATGTTCGCATGGTAGCCTTCGGGGTTTATCTCGAGCTGTTGCCGAAAGTCTGCATAGAGCGATGCAAGGCGATGCTGGCTGTGCTAGTCAGCAATGCAGCCCTGGAGGGTGTCGCCGATATATGGGTGGACTCACTTCTTGAAGGCATCTTCATGTTGCAGGACGAAATCTAGCAGTTCACTCATGTCGCGCTCTGGGTCGGGTACCCACTGCGGCCTGTTGTGCTGGGAACGGAAGAGCGAGCGCTTCCGCTTATGACGACTAAGCGTGGGGTCGCTGCTAAAGATGGAGACGTGGGGGCCGCCGCTGGGGACCAGGTCGCGCGAGGGCTTGCGTTTTAGCATGTGCGCAGTCAAAAACAGCCAAGGGAGCAATACGATGACATTAGACGGTATCGATTAGGGTCTAGTGCAGGGCCAGATTCTATACAATAGTCGACTATCGAGCCGTGCGGGCGCGTGCAGGCTTGCTCACGCGACGCGTTGTTTCAAGATCCAAACCTGGACTAAGTGCCTGACCTTCCTTCATGGTGGTCGCGCGCAACTCCTCGGCTCAGGCCATTCCCTGTACATCAAGCGGTGCTCCCATTCCCATCCTTGCAAGATTCCTGAAGCTTGCAAATCGTCATGACGCTTAGATCGTCACTCTATGCAGATAGGATGCTGTAGCCATACAGTCCTTGTCGTGAAAGCTCACAAAAAGCTGACATCGCTACTATAGCGTCAGAGAGCACGCTGAACAGGCGTGCGGTCGT